CTGCCGCTGGGATAGCCAATGCCCTGCTCGGACAGCGATTGCGTCTCGTTCAGAACAATGCGCTGCAGGTAGAGCTGCGAGGAGGAGCTAAAGTTCCTCGAGAGCTGTCCGACGGGCGGCTGGTGTCCATCGCTGGCGGCACTCACACACCCATCGCCCCATTCCGGACGGCAGTAGCTCCATGGCAGCACCGCCGAGAAGGAGTCAAAGAAGTAGCGCAACGTCAGAGCCATTACCGAGGCATAGTATGTGGCCAAAACGCCCAAAGCCAAGAGCTGAGCATAGCCCACACCTGCAAAACAAAGTGCGAAGAAGTGTCATCAATTCCATGGGTGGGCCGGAAGGCGAAGGGGAGGGTTAGAGGCTTACCCCTCATGAGGGGTGCAAAGTCAAAGACCTGCACAATGCCGCGACTGGAGAACTGCCCCAGCAGCATTTCCATGTAGTAAATGGGTTTGCCCACCACAAACAGAACCGTCAGATAGGGAACCAGGAAGGCGCCGCCCCCATTCTCGAGGGCCGTGAACGGAAAGCGCCAGACATTGCCCAGGCCCACGCTTAAAGCGATGCAGGACATAAGGAACTCCATGGAGCTGCCCCAATTGTCGCGTGACCCCAAGTCCAGCTCGAGATCCGGCTGCAGGGTCTCCATCTCCTCAGACGACGCCAATGCTAATGCCTTGGGCAGCATCGATGGCCTCAGCGGCCCTCGCTCGCCGCTCTGTAGGGGGTAGGGTGAGAGGAGGATACGATCAAAATTGGGATTGGGGATAAGCATAGGATTTTGGTATTCTGCTAACCGTGCTGGACTCCAGCTTGCAAACAGGGCTGCTGCTCGATGATGGGGTCTTCGCCTTCAAATCTCTCATCGTAATGCGTTACTAGGGTGGAGAAATACGAAGAAATACACAAAACAATATATTAAGATGAAATAAATAAAACCCGAAACCCAAACAAAAACTACAGCCAGAGCCAGCGACAGCGACAGCGACATTCGCAGACACTTCTCGAATTCAGAATTGGCGTCAGGCCTGGCCCCGCGCTCCAAATTGTTTGAATTGAAAACTGGCACAGGCACCAGCCAGCAATCCAGCTGATGCAATCATATAATATGATTTCAGCATGGAGCAGCGATTTATCCACAATTGAAAGCCAATGCCTCCCCTTTCTCTTACCCACCAACCGATGCGGTGCGGTGCGGTGCGGTGCGGTGCGGTGCGGTGCGGTGCAGCACACTAACCTTTCAAGTATTTCTTGACTTGTATTAGATATACAGAGCTTATCAATTGGCACCATGGACACAAAGCGCACAAAGAGTATTAGAACAACGTTCAACGGCGCTAAGAGCTCACACTTCCAACAACTGAGTTGTGGGAGTATGTATTGAGAAAGGAGTGCTGTATTCCTCTCTCTCGTATTCACAAAACTCAAACACTGCACCCGATCAAGAACCGTTCTTTGCGCGTTCCCTTTTGGGCTCGCGTTTATCTAAACTTCTTTGCTATTCCTCTTTGGGAGCTATGGCTTGGGCTCGGGCTCTGGCTTATCTACTCCTTGGAATTCTAGATGTCACTATTCTCCACATTGATTTCTTTATCGCGGCAACGATCGGAGTCATCTGAACGGTATCAAGGAACGCTACTCCGCTTTTATTGCGGGCTCGGTGTCAGTCTGTCTGTCTGTCTGTCTGTCTTCTTCTCACTCTAAACTGTAGCCGTTGGCGCTCAAGTTTCGCTCAAAAGTGAGAGAAGCGGGAAAGAGCGTCTGGGGGAAGAGAGCGTTGTTGGGAGGCGAGCAACAATTTAATTGATTGAAAGCCCAAACCAAAGCGGATTTCGGCGGTCCGACCTCAGTTCTTGGATTCCTTTTTACTTATGATTTCTAAATTAAACATCACTTTTGGCAATGTTTCGGTTTTGAATGGAAATTATTAGACGGACAAATTTATTATGGCGATAATTGTCCACAAACATAGTTCAAGGCCATTAAATGAACAAACAAATTGAACCTTGAAAAAATGCAATTATATGATAATTCTGTGAAAATTAATAGCATTTTAGCAACTGCCCCAAAAGTAGGCAATGGATTCTCATACAAAAATGCGCTTCGTTACCAGAATTTGATTCGAGTATGTTGCCTGCTTTTGGGCGTTCAGTTTAAATCAGCCACCTGTTTACACAACAAAACTACTTTGAACTCTCATAGGAAGATATATCCTCTCACCTCATTTTATTATTTCACTTATTTCAATATAGAAACAAAAAGTCGAGCGGAAATCCAAACATACATCTCAGTATTACAAACACTTCGGAAAATATGTTGCATACCTTTGGGCTGAAGTTAAAGGTTGGCTGTTACAGGAGACATCCATCTGCTGGGTGTGAAGTGATGTAGCAGACACCCTTTTATTTGCTGTTTCGGAATACGTTGCGACTGTTAATTAATTCAAAAACCATTTACTTAGATGCTCTCCTATAGAGATTAATCAGTCTTCCAGGGGGGGCACTCCGAGAAGCATGAATAGTTTGTCTTATCAAACGCCAGGAACTTTTATTTATGACCATCCGTTGCCGTGTGCTGTTCACTAAGTAAAAAAAAACAGCAAGATTTATGGAGATAAGCCCGCAAATGAGAAGGCTTGCTTATCAAACATGACATCCAACCAGACTGCAAGATAACCTTGTGAGCAATGACGACAGTTTACGGCTCTGTTTTTTTTCTGCGCCAACATATGCAGATGTTGGAAAATCAGCCTAATACAAAAGATCTCACACCTCAGTGGACCCCCAACGAGAGCGAGAGTGGGACAGGTCAATGGACTCGCACTCGGAATCGGATTCGGCTGTTAAGCCTCTGCTATGCTCTGCGCTGCTCTGCGGTTGCTGCCTAAACCACTTATTGGTACATCATTTTCTGTGCTTTATTTCTTGCTTGCCACAAAAAAAAACCACAAAACGCACTACAATCGAGTGGCAGGCGAATCGAAGAACTTGTCTTGGCCAAACGTCGCAGATTTGCGCTAATAGTTCATGTCAACTATCCATCAGGCCCACACAGCACATAACAAGCTAATGCAAAATTTCAACAAGCCGGCAGTACACACGATATATGAGAGATTCTGAGCAATATAAGCCCCGCCGCCACATAATGACAGAAAGACGAACAGATAAACAGACAGACAGCAAGTTGAAAAAATAAATAAAAGATGTATCATTCTATGCCATCGGCGCCGCAAAGCGAAACACACCGACATTTGCATCGAGACGAGGTGTGGGGTTACAAATATCCGAAAGTATAAACAAAATAGATTTGTTGTCTGAAATATGTATATTTAAAGATAAGCCAATATGGAAGATAAGCCCTGCTTCAGATGGCTACAGAACGCTACCAAATCTCGAAATCTGCTAATGGATTCTAAATTCTAAATCAAACATGGACATAGCGGGGCTATCGCTATAGCATTTCCTATTCAGGTTTTCCCTTTGCCATCTGTTTGAATTACAATGATTCTTCAAAAATTTTAACGATCAGAGCAGTCATTGTCTGGGTTTTTGGCCATTTTCAATGCCAGAGATATAGTCGTACACCTCAACACTCATGTGATCGATATGATATGACTGCCTGACTATTAAATCTTCATTTTCTGGCTATTATTAGTGCGCGCCGTTCCCTAATTCGATTCTCAAGTGCCGCCCAATCGATTGCTGCTGCTACTGCTGCTGCTGCTCTGATTTGACAAACGTCGTCCCGTTCATGGCTGATAAGGCAAAAAGTAAATAAAAAAACAAATATACTGAAACTGAAGAAGCGGTACTCGAAATCAAGTGGAATTTCCCCCCATAATCTAGGATTTGAGACACCCACAAAACAATGATATCGAGGCCACTGTGCGCGGGACTCGTGCGAACTATTCTCCACGAATGTTTTCAAACCTGTCGTTGTCGCCTGGAAAACTCGTTTCCAGAGATGTGTATGTTCCGTTCCTTGTTGTTGGACAACTGGATAAGTTGAGGCAAGGTGGAATAAGTTAGGTTACGGGTACGGGTACGGGTACGGGTACGGGTACGGGTACGGTTAAGAGTAAGACATGTACATACATATGTATGTTTAATAGAATATCAAAGCTGCTGCTGCTGCTGCTGTTGCTGCAGGGCTAGTGGCTGATCAAATGATATGAAATGTTTGCACAAGATTCAAGAACCTTGCCTATGAATGAATTAACATAATTACACACGGACTGGGACTGGGACTGGGACTGGGACGACTGCCATGTCCGTCAATGGATTTGCATAAATAAAATTTAATGCAAATAATGATAGTAACAATATCTAAACAAATAATTGACAAGACGACAACGGTGGCTGCTCCTAAGACAAAGAAAGGAAAGGCTGACCAAAGGCCCGACGATAAGGCGACGCGAGAGTCCCCCTCCACCATCACCCTCTTCGAAAGAGAAAGAGAGAGAGAGAGAGAGAGAGAGAGAGACGGAGAGAGAGAGAGAGAGAGAGAGGCTGAGAGAGAGGCTGAGAGCAGCAGAGAGCATAGCGAGTCATATGCTATCTATATAAATTGGCTCCAGAGGCAGACCCAATCAGTCGCACAGCGAACCAGAGCAGACCCGGATCACAGATCCACAGTTGCACAGAACTACAAGATCCACAGATCGTTTGCTGTCGTCACAAGTTCGTTTTTGAGGGTGGCCAAAAATAAAACCAAAGTCATCGACGCGACGGAAAAAACAACAGCCAAACAAAATAGAAAATTAGTTTTCTATTCCATTTTGGCATTTCTATTTTTTCTTCGTGTGTTGCGTGTTGCGTGTTGCGTGTAGCGTGTGCAGTGTGTCCCGGAGCCAAACACACACATCTTTCATGTCTTGCCAAAATCCACGCAGCGTTCAGGCCATCATCGCGTACGACCAGGGGCAATGTCATCAGCACTTTAACAGCAGCCAGCGGAGATAAAAAATAACCAATCCTACTATATACATATTTAGTATATATAGTATTGCAAATTTTAAGAATTAATAATAATAACGTCGCCAACGGGCCGAGAGCATAGCAGAACGTCATTTGAAGTGAAAACCGAGGAGGAAAAATTGATTTTGTTAGCCATCCGCAGAGCACAGCACAGTCACAGCCACAGCACTGCTCCTGCTCCTCCGCATGGGTAAAGTTATGAGAGTGAATTCGTTGTCACCACCGCCCGCCCGACACAACTGCCCCAACTGCCACTCCCTCGTGCAGAAAGAGCAGCAGAAACAATCGAAATTGAAAACAAAAACAAAAATCGAAATTTATTTTATGTTCAACAATTTGTGCAAGCGAAAAACTTTAACGGATTATCATTTATTGACACTAAAACAACAAAACAAGGCGGAAAGTGAGTAAAAAAAAGAAGAAGAAAACGCAGTGATCGTAAAGAGCAAAACCAAATATAAACCTATAACAGTAGAATACATATATGTATATAACCCATATCGAAATCTATAAAGCATTCAATACCTTATTATTTTTGAGATCAAGGCAGGACTAGTGCCAAGGATAAGCGTAACAAAAAGGTGAGTACGAGTAATTCAAGCGAATAAAACGCAGTTACATGAAAAGTTCAATGAATAAAGTGGCGGAAAGAAACTTTCAACAGACTGAAGAAATTTTCTTAGAATTGACTCCCACCATTATACGGGAAAAGCTATCAAAATTAATGACTGGTTTCATGTTTGGGCCCAATAAAACGATCAATTACACCCTTAATAACCCTCTCACATACCTTCTCCCCACCCATACGATAGGGAGGGCGCACGCCCACATCACAACCGACGGACGACGACAGACGGTAGACGGCAGACAACAATCAAGTGATATGCATTTTAAGCAGCACTTTAATAAACATGTTAATTACAACAAACTGTATAATTACCGCATTTGTGGCGATAATCAAACACACAAAAAAACACTAAAAACAACGGAATATTATCCAGATGATTATCCAGCCGAAGATGTGTGAATTTTGTATTTTGGTTTTGCATTGTGTTGTGAGCATTAAAAAAGGCAAAAACTATTTCCTCAAAGCCCCCGGAATAACCTTGACCCCATTTTTCGGGGGAATGATTCATCTACGGAATCGGCTTCTTATCAGGTGACTTCCTAATAGTAACAGGCCTTATTAATGTCTACGCATGAGGTATCAGCATCAAGCATTAGGCATCACTTAATATTGAAATATGTTCAGCTCGATTCAAGTTTTTCTGCGTATGTTTTTTGGCTGCTTCTTTAATTCATACATGTATTGACCTAGTCTCAAAAGATTTGATTACGATTCGTATATGTAGTTTGTGGCTTAATGAATATTCAGTGACGAAAAATTCGCCGGTCATCTAACCCGGGGCTAGAGACAAAGAGAGCGAGTGTGGTTCAAGTAGATTCCAATTCCAGTACACTGTTTCCCAGTACCCAGATATCATTCCGCACCCACCCCCACACATGACCTGGCAACTCGTCTCAATTATTGTTGAAGATATGTCTCTTTAGTGGGATAGATCGCTAAATTTATTCCAGCTTTTATTGTTATTATTATTATTCGCACACACACGTACAATATAAGAGCTGATAAGTTTAGCACGACACAAGATTTGGTCAATGGCTCAAAGACAGACAGAGCCCTCGGAGAGAAGCCCAGAGACCTCACAGAGACCTCACAGAGACCTCTGAGACGAGGCCCAGACTCAGTTGCGATTTGGACACGCGACGTTTTGGATAGGTTTTTCGTGTCGCGGCTACATCTGATCAGTTAAAGATCAGTTTACTTAACGATATATGTACATATCTACAGAGTAATTGAATTCTATAAATTGTCTCCTTGTTAGCGAAAGTGTTCGCTTGGAATTATACAAAAATGTGGCTAATTGTAAAGTTCAAACAGAAGTGAATTACAAAAAACAGAAGAGACAGAAAGACATATCCATAAATTGAGATAATTGGGAGCTAAGAGCAAAGGTGAGCATTCTCCCTGGAAAGGGGGTTTCGATTGGGGTTCTGTGGCAGTGATTGCTGTGATTGCATTTTGTTTATTGTTATTAACAAATAAACCCGAAGGAGAGATAATTTTCATTACTTTTTCGAGCCAATCGCAAGGCAAGTGACACAAAAATGAACAGACAGACAATGGATGGACCTCGGTTGCAATTGAATCGAAATTGATTTTTCGCTGGCCGCCGCGTAGCTCAATTAATCAGAAATCTTTGACGCGAGCTTCTGCGACGTGCCGCTCCAGATGTTTCCATTATAATTCAATTCAACGTTTTCTGTATGTTTTGTTTTGTTTTGTTTTGTTTTCTTCGTGCGATGGAAAAACGGCACGATGTTGTTGTTCTCTTGGCACATTTTGTGCAGCTAATTACAAGATTGAGATACAGAAATTAAGTAATTAATCGAACACTCTCCCACAGCAGGTTTTCCTTTTCTAAAATGGTTGGTGTTGCGGCGGATCCCTCGCAGGCAGATCAACTGTCCTCGGACAAGAATCCTATGATCAAGTACATGCTCAAGACCAGGGAGAATCATGCCAAGGAGCAGGATGAGGACTACTCGCATGTCTTTCGCCGAAAGACCCGATTCGAGATGTTCCGCCTATCAGCCATTGCCATGGCCATTGAGTTTGCGTATGCAGCCGAGACTAGCTTCGTGTCCCCCATTCTGCTGTCGATCGGCGTCGATCATAAGGTCATGACCATGGCCTGGGGACTATCGCCACTGATTGGCTTCTTTGTGTCGCCGCTCCTGGGCAGCATCAGTGATCGTTGTAAGCTGCGATGGGGACGACGTCGTCCTATCATTTCCATACTATCCTTTGGCATCTTTTGCGGCCTCATCCTGGTGCCCTACGGCAAAGATCTGGGCGTGCTGCTTGGCGATGTGGGCTACAATTACACGGAGGTGGCCGTCACTAACATCACCAATTTCGTCAGCGAAGGATCTGTGGCGGCATTGGTTGCCGCCTCAGCGGAGGCAACCGGACCGTCCGCTTCCGACTATAAGTACGCCGTAATCCTCACTATTCTGGGCATGGTGATGCTGGACTTTGATGCGGACACCTGCCAAACACCGGCCCGCACCTACCTGCTGGACATGTGTGTGCCCGAGGAGCAGCCCAAGGCAATGACAATGTTTGCGCTCTTTGCCGGCTTTGGGGGCACCATCGGCTATGCCATCGGGGGCGTTGACTGGGAGATGACGCACATTGGCAGCTTCCTGGGCGGAAATATACCCACGGTCTTTGGCCTGGTCACCATAATATTTGTGATATGCTACATCATTACGGTGACCACGTTCCGGGAGATTCCTCTGCCGCTGATGGAGCAGGATGAACTGCTGCGCCCCATGACCGATGCGGCTATCAAGAAGGAGCTGAAGAAGAACAACAATGCCGTCTACTACATCCAGGAGACAACGCAGCTGGAGCTAAAAATGATCGTGGATGATGCCAAACGTGCCGAGGCACTCCAGGGTAGCTATCAGAATGGATACTCCCCCGCGCTGGAGAAGAACACAAGAGACCTCGAGGGACAGTCGGTGGCTGAGGCTCCTGTGTCGCTAAGTGCCTATCTCAAGAGTATATTCGTTATGCCGTACTCGATGAGAATGCTGGCTCTGACCAATCTTCTGTGCTGGATGGGCCACGTCACCTATTGCCTCTACTTCACCGACTTTGTAGGCGAAGCTGTGTTCAATGGGGATCCGACGGCGCCACCAACCTCCGAGGCGTACCTTCGCTATGAGGCCGGTGTCCGATTTGGCTGCTGGGGCATGTCCATCTATGCCTTCTCCTGTTCGATATACTCGTTGTCCGTAACGAAGCTAATGAAGTGGTTCGGGTAAGCCTTCCCCCTTAATTTGATATCTGGAACAAACTTATAAGCTATCTTCTTTCAGCACCAAAGCTGTGTACATCAGCGGCATGATCTACTATGCCATTGGAATGCTCATCCTGGGTCTCTGGCCCACCAAATGGGGTGTGCTGGTGTTTAGCACAGCTGCCGGCATACTCTATGGAACCATCTTTACGGTTCCCTTTATTTTGGTGGCCAGATATCATGCCAAGAACTGCGTAAGTGCAATGATTCTGAATATAGAGCTTTAGCGCTGTAGAGCAACTCTTTGATGTACCTCTTTCTCCCTCAGTTTCGTGTGCGGAATGGAGAGACTCTGCCGCTGAAACAGGCCCGTGGTCTGGGTACCGATGTCGCCATTATTAGCAGCGTTGTGTTCATTGCACAATTGATTGTCTCGGTCTCTGTGGGGCCGCTTGTCTCCTGGATGGGGACGACCTGTGCCGTGCTCTATGCATCGACTGTTATGGCCTTTTTGGCGTCTATTGCGGCCATGTTTGTGCTGTATGTCTAGACTCTAGAGGGAGGTTGTACTGTCCATAAGGTAGATTTAGTCTACATGTATTTTACAGGTCTATATGTATCTTTGACGTTTTTTTATCTTTGCCGACCTTCTGGCAGTATCAGCGACGGCGATCCTTGTGTTGTGGCATACTTTTAGGCTGTACTTTTATGTATTTTATTATAACTGTGTTTTTTTTCCATGTTTAATCATTTTTGTATACATATAAAATTATGTAAAATGTCCCCTTGGCCACTTTCTTCAGCAGTCGAAAGCCATTTCTCTGAGTCAAACAATAATCCGAGAGAAGCTGAGAATCTGTACAGCGGATATTAGTTTTTATGCTCGTGCATGGCATTCAAATGCAACTTTTAATTTCCTCAAGTGCAATTTTTTCCATCCAAGATGCTGCCAATTTCCTTAGCAGCTCTGCACATGCGACATGCCCCTGCCACTCAGCAAACCGGCCCCAGTTAACACCCAGAAATCGCCCAGTCGACTCCTTTGGCATTCTTGTAAGTGTCAGAGACACATTTCCGTTGTCGCCTTCCAGTGATAAATAGCATTTAATAATTTTACTCACGCCCCAGCCTCCAGCGCACATTTCCACAGGTTTCAGGACGAAAAAAGCAATTAAATGTGTACTACTTTCGCAGGACTAAGGATAAGGTATAAAATAAACTGAGGAATAAAGAAACGGGCAGCAAAAAATATCAACAATAATTGGAGAATAAGTAAAAAGTATATGGCCCATCGCGTTGACGGAGGAGCATAAGTTATGGCTGAAGTCGTAAAAGTGCTAGAAGTTGGCTTAATAAAAGTAAAGGAAAGACAAGAGAGCACAACCCACCACCCACCACCCACCACACACACACACACACACAGACACACAAACACATACTAATAGGAATTGCAATACAAAAGACATGAAAACAGAAGAAATGGGCGACAAAAAGCGAAATTCTCATCAAATTGAAAATAAATTCTTCACGACAAGTTCTTAAGGCGGTTCGGGTTGAGGCGGGTTGAGTGGGTGATTTGAACAGAATCCTAACGCTATAGTCTAGTGCTCGTATCGGCTTTAAAAAAACTTTGAAAATAATCAGCTACCGAGCGTCTTCAAATTGCAAATCAAGAGCGACAACACGGCGTATGCGTAATGTGAGCTCTTGGCACGCTTCGGCCCACACTCGACAATACACTGGAGTGGTGTGGCATGGAGTGGAGTGGCATAGAGTCCCCACTACCAAGATGAGCGCAAACAAATTGAGTTTATCGGCGGCTACAAATCTACAGGAAGCACACAATCATTCATCATAAGACCCAAGCCCAAGAGTATACATATATATATATATATGTATATGTGTGTGTATATGTTTATATGGATGTATATGTATATGTATATGTACTATATATATATTAAGTCGGTCCTTGTCCCTGTGCCATTGAGTTGAGTGAGCACTAAAAAATATTTACATTTGTCTTGAGCTCATTTCGAAATCCGAGCAAGCAATCGCTAGGGGTTTTCCCACAAATCAACAGAGACGTTAGTGTCTCTTTCTCTCTCTCTCTCTGAGGTTGTGTGTTGTATCTGTGTTTGTATAATAAGCCAAAATGCAAAAGTCGTCGCAAATCAACAAAGGTAAATTCATTTTAGATTTGATTTCAGAGCCCTAAAATGGAAAACACGTGCACCGTTTATCCCTCCACGCCACTGTACTCTACACCACACCACCTCCCTACCAAACGCAATCCCAATCGCAATCCCCCAGTCCAATCTTCAATCTTCAGATTCTTGACGCTGACGAGCAGCGACATAAGTCCGCCATCTCATGCGTGCCGGAAGTGCAGCCCTCTGCCATATCCACCACTGCCACGTTTCACGTACACTATCTCCCTCTCTCTCTCTCTCTCTCTCTGTCTCTTCAAAGAAAAGTCCTAAGCCAAAGTATGCATTAGCATTGTTTACCTGCGGACGAGGATTGCCATGCAATGCAATGTGATGCTGAGATGCTGACAAGTGTGCAGGAAATTGGAATGGAAACTGGAACTGGAACTGGAACTGAAACTGAAACCGTTTTCTGGCTGTCTGGCAGTGCCTTTTTGGGGGGACTCTTGCGCTATTGACACTACAGCTGAGATGCGTCTCAAATGCTCTTTGAGGATGCTAGTATTTATTGCAATATTCGCTCGGTGATGGGCAGGCATCACAATTGATTAGGTTTTTGGGGAAGCGTTAAGCCCTTTATCGCTCCTGCCTTCACTCAGCTTGACACCTTTGGTCCTGGCTTAAGTCCCCCTCCCCCCCCCCCCCCCCCCCCCCCTTCCCTACCGACCACAACTCCTTCAATCATAATTTATATGCAAATTATTTTGGTATAATTTTTTTTCGCACCAGGCAACGCTTAACTTTTAGCTCTTTTTCTGTGTTGTTGCTGTTGCCGGAAGCGTGCCAGCATTTTATAAAATATTTTTACGGAAAAAAATGGCAGTCCAAGTAGCGCCAAGCAGCCAGTGGGAAAGCGGGTAAGCGGTGGTGGGGGAAAAAAAGAGGAAAAAAAAAATAAATGGTTTAAGGGTTTCAACCACTGGGGGGCTCCTCTCTAGCCCCAGCTCCAGCTCCAGTGCCAGCTCCAGTGCCAGAAGTGATGGCATGTCAAGTCGGGCGACATGTGCAATAAAAGGGAAATAATATGCAAATGCAATTATAAGCAACTGGCAGCGATATGAGCAAGACATCCGCATCCGCATCCGCATCCGCATCTAGATCCGCATCCACATCAAGTGAAGCTGAAAGCTGAAGCTATAGACGAGGCGACGTGGCCTGCCAAGCGCCGAACCGCAAAAAAGTTTTGCATTTAACTTAATTTTTATAGCATAAACAAGCATATCTCATGATGATGGTGAGGGAGGGACTGCCACTATAGCTACAGCTACAGCTACAGTTTTGGCTCTTGCTCGGAGGAGTAATTCCATTGAAATTTGAATATATGAATTTTCATTGTACGAGTAATGTGAGTGTGTGGGGGGCGGGGGAGCTTAGATATGGCACGCTGTGGCCTCAAAGTCGATTAATGCCTGTAACAATTACATTTTTAAATTTCAGGGGCCACTGCCTGCAACGGCAAACAGCAGCAGCAACAATAGCGAAATGGCCATACGATAAACTTTTGCTGGCAAATCAGAGAAACTAACATGAGCCATAAATTAAGAAGGCGACGCCCAGGACGACAATGTCCCTTTCCCTGTCTCTGTCCCCCGCTCTGCTCAAACATTTACAGCAGCTCTGGCATTTCCCGGCTGTTTGATGTGAAACTTTTTCCGGGTGAGGGCTGGGCCAGACGTGGCTAGTTCAGGCCAGTCCAAAGTCCCAGAGTCCTGGGTACTGGTCGACACGACTGTCGGCAATCCAGCCTGCCTGCCAGCCTGCCTGCCTGCCTGCCTGATACATGAAATGTAATAAATTTCGTTATCTATGCATTATTTATGTCGTAATTTGGTATTTTAGCCCAAAACAGAAAAATGAAAAGCGTCGAGCAATGGCTGGCAGGACATCCAGAGCTATCCAGAGCTCGCGCCAGGGCCCCCCAGCCTGACAGCCCCAGTTTCGGCCCCAGCACCAACCCCAACCTCAGTCCCAGTCCTTTGCCTGCCGTCGGGTCAACATTACACATTTTCACTAAATGGTTAGCCGAGTATAGCTGCTGTGTAGCTGTGTGTGTAGCTGTGTATGTGTGTGTGTGTATCTATGTATTTTTTTTTTTTTTTTTTTTTTTTTTTTTTTTTTTTTGTTGTTGTGTGACTACAGGAAAGCTTCATGCCGACTCAGCCGAAGCCGAAGTGAGGGACTCTAACCGCTCTAAAACCAACCACACCTATCCCGGATCCCGGCGGTACTGTCGCGAGATATTACTTCGCCGGGGGGAGATGCCCGTAGGGCTCTTCTCTTAACAATCTCCTTTATCCTTTATCTCCTAGCATTGCGTGCTCTTTCTTCGCGACGCAGTTTGGTAGCCATAGTTACGGCCATGAATCTAATCGCGGCCCAGTTTCCTTCCGACTCTAGCAGGCATTCTGCCAGGTTTGTCACCGCTGGCATTCTTCCAAGCTTGTTGCTTAGATCCTCTCGTTCTTGCCGAAATCTTGGACATTCGAAGAAGCAGTGCTCTGCGTCTTCGATGACCCCTGCGCAGACCACGCAGAAGGGGTCGTCCTCGTGCTTAAACCTATGCAGGTAGGCTTTAAAGCAACCGTGTCCTGTCAGCAGTTGTGTCAGGTGATACTCCACTTGTCCATGGCTACGGTTCAGCCAACTCTTCAGGTCTGGGATTAGCCTATGGGTCCATCGCCCTTTGCTGCTGTTATCCCACGAATCTTGCCATTGCAGGATTGTGCGCTGCCTTAAGGCACCTCTGGTGTCCTGGTCCGTAGTCCCCAGGGTTCGCTGTGCCCTGATTCCTGCGGCTTCTCTTGCCAGCAGATGGATGGGAATCATTCCTGCTACCACAAGTGCGGCGTCTTGGGATACCGTTCTGAATGCGCAACACACCCTCAGGGCACACAGCCTCTGGACTGCGTTGCATTCTCGGGCATATGTTTTATGCTTCATTGCATCAACCCATATTGGTGCCGCGTACATTAGCGTTGAGCCAACTACGCTCGCTAGTAGCTTTCGCCTTGGCTGTTTCGGGCCTCCGGTGTTGGCCATGATGCGGGATAGGGCCACTGCCGTCTTTCCTGCTTTGCTGCTTGCATACGCCATGTGATGCTTGAAGCTGAGTCTGTGGTCAATCATGACCCCCAGGTACTTCAGGCTTGGACTGGAGCTAATAGTGCAGTCTCCTACTCGGATCGTGGCCGTCTCCACTACTTTCCTACTGCTTATGAGCACCGCCTCCGTTTTGTGGGTGGCTAATGCGAGATCCCTCCCTGATAGCCATGTTCTGGCTCTCTCTACCGCGTCGTTGCAGATTTCTTCCGCCGCTTCTTTCTGTTTTGCCACTACGACTATCGCTATGTCGTCGGCAAAGCCTATCACCGTTGCGCCCATTGGCATATCCATCTTGAGGATTCCATCATACATGATGTTCCACAGCAGCGGGCCGAGGACCGATCCTTGGGGAACTCCTCCAGTGATTTGGTGCTCACGTGTCCCCTTATCCGTCTCATATATGAGCAATCGGTCTCTTAGGTAGTCCGCGATGATATTCTGCAGATACGGCGGTACTTGAAAGTTTCTCAGTTCTTCTAGTATGTGATCCCAATTGGCAGAGTTGAATGCATTTTGGACATCGAGTGTTGCCACTATGCAATACTCTTTGGTCCCGTACATCCACCGGGTGCCATCGATAGCTCGCTTTGCTATCTCACATACCTCGCCGATTGCGTCCACCGTGGACCTGCCTTTGCGAAACCCGTGCTGTCTCGGTGAGAGCTGATGCGTTACTGCCTTCTCCAGCCTGGTGTGGATTATGCGCTCGAGGATCTTACCCACTGTGTCGAGCATGCAGAGTGGTCTATAGGATGATGGCTCCTCGGTCGGCTTGTTCCCCTTGGGTAAGAGGACTAGCCGCTGTCGCTTCCATGGTCTGGGGAAGGTCCCTTCGGACATGCACGCATTGAATAAATCCACGTACATTTGTGGATTGGTCTCAATAGCCGTGCGGAGAACGGCATTTGGGACCCCATCAGGTCCTGGTGCTTTGCCGTTCTTTATCCGTTGTAGAGCTTCGAGGACTTCTGC